TATGTTACCGCATAACTTTGGACCACGTCATCCGATTTCGATAATTCTTTGCATCGGAAAGGTAGTGTCTCAGAGGTGGTCCCATACTAATCTGGTTAAGATCCGATCAGTGGATCATGAGATATATATATATATATTTTTTTTTATATGAGAGTTGAAGTCGGTTTTTTTTTGCTAAAAATTACTTGTTATTATTTGGAGACACAAATGCGGCCATGCGAGCAGAAGTGCTCAAACCCACAATTTTTTTTTTTATAATTAACATCTTAAAATAGTTTCAAATGTGGTTAATTATAAATTAATGGTCGCTTATTCTTTAATTTGAAGGTACGTCATGTAGCCTTGAACCCTAAAATAAAGGAATAAGCGACTTTTGTTTTAAAATTGATCAAATTTTGTGTTGAGGTCACTTCATCTCTCACTACCTTAAATATAAATAAATAAGTACACTCTTCAGATTATTTTATTTTCACCCTTCAAATCCATTATGTTTCGAGTTTATTTCGTTTTTATAGCATTTTATTGTGTGTGGCGTTATTGCTCAAGGTTTACTTACACTTAAAACTGCTCCATCCCCCATCCGTCATAACCTCCTATCACACATTTATACTCACTCACATACATAGTTGTATGTGACGCAACAAGCGTGCAACGTGCAGCAGCAGTTACGCAATGCGAGTACACTTTATGCACCACGCACGCTTGCGCCTTCCTACCCCCTTCACACGCTATTTTTCAGCCCCTCCCTCCCCACCACGATGTTTTGGCCGCCTCTGGCACGCGTTCATTTTCGGATCTGCGCTGTTGATTTTCAGCTTTTATGTTATTGCGTTTTGCTCTCGTATCTGTGCATTTTATTGTTATTGCATTTTATGTGCGTATGTATACTTCCTATGTGTACATATATATATATATATATATATGTAGATGTAAGCCATTTTGGTATGACTGTGGCGTCTTACGGTCGTAAAAGCACCGCACACAACTTCGGAAGGGAACTCATACAGCTTGCCAACATTTTGACAGCATGTCCAAGCATTGATGTGCGAATTTAGCGAATTGCTTAAAAATGATACTAAAAACTTTACATACATATTTAGGTGAAGTCAAAGCACTCAAAGTAGCCATTTGCCTTTAAGTTGACTTCATTACTTCGAGTACATTTACTTGGCCGTGCATCCAAATCTGGCTGATATGCCACAAATTGCGTAACTGGCACTACTTGGTTACACGGAAGTAGAGCTGTTTGGTTTTGGTATTAAAGTGTTTAAAGGAAAGGCAAACGTTTCTTTTAGGTTGTTTGTACTTCCAGCAAGGTAGAAATATTTATTATCTATTGTGGAAATTTGTTCCGTCATTCCTTGTAAAATTTTCACAGCGTTGGTTTCGATTTGAATAGCAGTATGAGAAATAAAATTACATTCATTTTCCCAATGCAATAGCTTAAGAAAGTATTATTAGAATTTATTAGCAAGTGCCGTTTAGCATTAGAAGTGCTAAGGTCATATTTGCAGTAGTCAAAGGTATTTGGCCCATAGTCATAGTCGTAAGTTCAAACTCATTATTCTTAAAATAAAGCTTTAAGTTTAGAATAGAATTTTAAGTTATATCAATCCTAGACATCTTAGAAACAGCTTTTTGTTAAGATGAGAGAGAACAGAGCTATCCATATGAAGAGAAAAAATTTACTCGGCAATATAAAGAAATATGAGTACTTTAATTGTATCACCTTGTGTCCGCTGCAGGATTGCGGATTTAGCAAGCTGGAAGTCGTGAGTTCGAATCCCTCTGCAGGGAACATTTTTTTTACATCTTATTTTGTTGTTTTAAACATTATTTTAATTTGTTTTATGCAATTATAGTGGTTGCCACCTTTTCAAATTAAAATTAAACTCCAAGAAATTTTATCAACTTGAAACAATTATGTGAAATACATTAAAAAAGGCAATCAAACAAAAGTTAACAAAATAAAATGGAATAAAAAAAATAATAATATTAAAAAATATTGTTTGGAGTCGCTCGGAGTGGGGACCGAACCTGGGTACTTATGCGTTTACTACTTCAACAGAAAAACCAAACTTAGAACTTTATTTGACTATTTTATAGTCACGTTCTCTTCATTGTAAAATTTAAATTCTGTTTTTGCCATAAAATGCATTTTGAGTTGACTATGAAAGAGTTAAAATGCTGATTACTCCAAACACAATTTTAATCGTTAAAGCCTTTTTCTAACTTCTCTATGACTATCGGTCATTATATTTACAATCGTTAATTGAGATATCTACAAGCATACAAGCATATGCATTTATAAAGAAATATGCTGTAGAAATATCAATTGTCAAATAATCATATTCAATCAAGCGACACAACAATGCTGCTTGCTTAAAAAAAAAGCTTGAATTTGATAGCTCTCCTGCAGGATTAATAGGAAAACATAGTTTTTCTTTTTAATTGAACGTTCTTGGAAAAACAACAGGAAATTGAGAATAAACAA